AGAGAGGTCCCTGATCACTGGAAAGGGGCACGCACAGTGCCCATATTTAAGAAAGGGAAAAGGGAGGATCCAGGGAACTACAGACCAATCAGCCTCACCTCAGTTTGTGGATAATAGTGTCTTTGGTAACATACGGTTGACGTCTAGTGTCTTCTCTTCCAAAATGTAGCAGGGCTCTAAGGCCTTTTCTGCCTCTGCACTGACAAGAAGAGAGCCAGGAAGACTCCTCAAGTGCCAGTTGCTGAGGTAACTAGAGGGAGCTAATGATCCGCGCCTGCCTAGCCAGCTGACAAGAAGGAGCAGGGCCTGGCTCCTATATAAACCACAGGCAGGAGGCCAGGCGGCATTCCCTTCCAGCAGCTAAGGAAGAAGCAGCTCCCTGCCAGAAAAGAGAAGTAGAGCCGGGATGCCAGAGCAGCGTTGGTCACCGCAGGGGGATAGAGAACCCTGGTAGGCCTGAGCGCAGTTTGGCTGGAGGCTTATGTCTGCGTTGTAGTCCAGGGGCTTGTGTTTATGTTACTGTATCACTGGTGGTTTGGGTGAGGCTATAAGGGGATGGAGAAGGCCTCATAGGGGACTCATAGTAGTGTGAGGACCCCAGCCCCAGTGAGGGCACAGTGTTCAGGGGTACAGACCCCAGCCCCAGAGAGGGGCGGTTGAGAAACCCCAGTGTGGGCATGGTGAGCCCTGGAAAGGGGGCAGCGTAGCTGCGAAGGCCTGAGAGATGGGGTGGCGTAGCTGCGAAGGCCTGTGCGGGTGTGGTGAGCCCCGGAGAAGGGCAGCGTTACTGCGGAGTCCCAGTGTGGGCGTGGTGAGTCCCAGAGAAGGGGGCGTCACAGAGAAGGCCCTGAGACAAGGCAGCATTATAGAGAGCGCCCTGGAGAGAAGGGCGGCTGTACTTGGAGAGAGAGCGCCTTGGAGAGAAGGGAGGCTGTACTCAGAGAGAGAAAGAGATTGAGAGACAGGGCTGCGGAGAGCCTGAGCGCAAGAGAGGGCGCAAAGATAGAGAGAGGGACAGAACAACGTCCATTTACATCTGCGAGGCTTGGGGCGTGGCATTGGGGTGGTAGGAGCCACGCATAGCCCATAAGGCTTGGGTGCGTGGGGAAAGCCACGCATAGCCCATAAGGCTTGGGTGCATGGGAAACCCATGACAGGAGAACCGTGGCCAAGAGGACAGAAGGTAGCCTCCCTATAAAATATGTAAAAATCAAAGACGTGGTGGGCGAGAATTGGAGGGTGCAAGACGACCGTTTGGCACGGTGAAGGAGGCGGCAGGGGAGAGCACGGTGACCCTGACGTCACTCCTGTTACAAGGAACAGTCAGCCTTGATTCACCGAGGGCAAATCATGCCTCACCGCCCTGATTGCTAGAGGTGCACTGATACATCGGTCCAATATCGGATTGGAACCGATATAAAGAAAATTGAGTGTATTGCAAATCAGCCTGAAGTGGCTAACAGAGGCCCGTGCCTGCACGCAGCCACAACACAGCATGCAGGCAGCGAGGACCAGAGCCCAGCAGCATGCGTCTGGTAAGTCTCTTGTAGTGGAAGGGGAGAGAGGGGCATGAGGGGGCAGATCAACGCCCCCCTGTGGTGAGGGAGGGAGGGGGCAAGGACAGGCACTGCTCAGCCGGGGTGTAGCCGGCATGGCACAGAGCCACAGCTCATGGGGGCAGCAGCTCCCGCCGCTGCACGCACCCTGGGAAGGCATGGGGGGGCCGTGTGCCCCCGCATCTGTGTGGAGTGGGGCAGGCTGGCTGCAGCTGTGGGCTGTGGCCAGGGCTGCACCGGGCTTTTCTCCGTGGGGGCTGGGCTCGGGGCAGGCGGCAGTGCCACTGGTCGGGGGCTGCAGCCACCCCAAATTTCACCACAGCCTCCCCATAGCGCTGCTCCCAGCGCCGCTGCCTGCCTGGTGCAACCCCAGTTCAACCCCCCGCCTCCACCCACGCGCCGGGAAGAGCCAGGGCTGTGCCACATGGGGGCTACAGAGAAATTTGGGGTGGCTACAGCCCCCTCCCAGCACCACTGCTGCCCACTTTGAGGCCAGCCCTCGCCAAGAAAAGCCCAGCGCAGCCCCAGCTCCAGCCCGCAACTGCAGCCCAGTCGTCCTGCCTCACACAGATCCATGGGCACACGCCCCACCCCCTTGCCCTCCCAGGGTACGCACAACAGCAGGAGCCACCCCCTCATGAGCCGCAACTCCATCCCATGCCCGCCCCACCCTGGCTGGGCAGCGCCTGCCCTCACCTCCTCCCTCCCTCCCTCCCTCCCCATGGGGGGCATTGATCTGCCCCCCCACCTCCTTCCACCACAACAGACTTACCAGCTGGAGGCAGCTGCATCAGAAATTGGATCGATGTCAGTATTGGCCCCCAAAATCTCGATCGGTGCCTTCTATGATGAGATGACTGGCTCTGTGGATGCAGGGAGACCAGTGAATGTGGTATACCTTGACTTTAGCAAGGCTTTTGGCATGGTCTCCCAAAACATTGCAGGCAAGCTACGGAAGTATGGGCTGGGTGAATAGACTGTAAGGTGGATAGAAAACTGGCTGGAGCATCGGGCTTAGACATGGCAGTAATCAATTACTCAATGTCTAACTGGCCACCAGTATCAAGTGGAGTGCCCCACAGGTCGGCTTTGGGGCCAATTTGGTTAAATATCTTTATCAACGACCTAGAAGATGGGACGGAGCGCACCCTCAGCAAGTTCGTGGATGGCACCAAGCTGGGAGGAATAATAGATATGCTAGAGGGTAGGGCTAGGATTCAGCAACCTAGTCCTAGACATAGTGGAGGATTGGGCCAAAAGGAATCTCATGAGGTTCACTCAGGATGAAAGAATCCCATGCAGTGGTACAGGCTGGGGGCTGACTGGCTAGGCAGCAGCTCTGCAGAAAAGGACCTGGGGGTTACAGTGGACAATAAGCTGAATATGAGCCAACAGTGTGCCCTTGTTGCCAAGAAAGCTAACAGCATACTGGGCTGCACTGGTAGGAGTGTTGCCATCAGGGCAAGGGAAGTGATTATTCCCCTCTATTCAGCACTGATGAGGCCACACCTGGAGTAGTGTGTTCAGTTTTGGGCCCCCCACTACAGAAAGAACATGGACAAGTTAGAGAGAGGGCAGTGGAGGGCAAAGAAAACGGTGAGGGGGCTGGGGCACATGATTAATGAGGACAGGCTGAAGGAACTGGGCTTATTTAGTCTAGAGAAGAAAAGACTGAGAAGGGATTTAATAGCAGCCTTAAACTACATAAAGGGGGGGTTCAAAAAAGGATGGAGCTAGACTGTTCTCAGTGGTGGCAGATGACAGAACAAGGAACAACGGTCTCAAGTTGTAGCAAGGGAAGTTTAGGTTAGATATTAGGATGAATTGTCTCACTAGGAGCGTAGTAACACACTGGAACAGGTTATTTAGTTAGGTGGTGGAATCTCCATCCTTGGAGGTTTTTAAGACCCAGCTAGACAAAGCCTTGGCTGGGGTGATTTATTTGGGGATGGTCCTGCTTTGGATTGGACTAGATGACCTCCCGAGGTCCCTTCTAACCCTAATTTTCTATGATTCTACGACCACCCCCGCTGGAAGTCAGGCATACCAAGGGGGAGGGGGCATAATGTCAGGACCCAGTCCCAAATCCCTGACCCTAGGGCTCAAGGATAAAGCACCAGCTCAGCCCTCCAACAGGTCACATCTCACACAGAAGGCAACAAACAGCAAGAAAAGGGGCCTTGCCAGGGAAAGGCCTCCCATAACTGTCCCCTTATTGGCCAAAGGTTCCCAGACTCTGACTGGATTCCCCCACCTGAATAAGGCTTTGTTTTTCCTGGGGAAGCTGTCCAGACAATAATGCTGCTGCTGCTACCCTTGGACTGCCCCATTGCTTCTTTGCCTCTGTGCTCTGCTTCTAGATCTGAACACCCATTGCTGACCCTGCTCATATTTTGACTTCAACCCCTGCCCTGTGTCTCAGATTGTTGGAACTCAGCTCTCACAGGTATCTGACCTAGCTTGCTCCCTGACCTTGCTCTGCCTACCATTTTGGCCCTGGCTCAGACTCTGACCCTCTAGATTTGACCCTGCCTATCCTTCAGACGTTTGGCTAACAGCTTGTGCAAATCACTACTCAGACTGCCTATGCCTCAGTGGATGATGCACTCATGTCTAGAAGACCTTTTTTCTAGCACACCAGGGTTCTGTGGACAAGGGCACAAAAGGGAGCAATGTAAGTAGCACTATGTCCAGTTGCCTTTGACTTTCCAGTCCAAATGCTCTTGGGTGAACTTGGGCCTGTAGCCTTTGGCATGAATTTAAAGCCAGGCGCAAACTCACACCTTTGAAGCTATACATTCCAGAATGCAGCAGAGAAACAGCAGTTTCCCATAATATTCCTCCACCCCTAGCCTCCAGGTCAGAAAATAATGCACATCAGAAATAAACGCTTTTGAGTGCATTCATACTATCAGTTAGGAGAAGGTCAAAAGCCTCTTGGGGCTGGTAATAACACAGAGCCATCCAGACAAAAGCCCTGTCAACACCTTGGAGGATCTTACAGAGCTGCTGTTCAACACTGAACAGCAATCCTCCAGATTCCCTTGGAGACCCAAGTATGCACCTAGACAACGCAAATGTTATAATAGTGCTTGATCTCTTGGCTCAAGGAAACTATGGGTACCTATACACATGCCGGATGCCTGCTCTGATGCATTCTAATTAAAACGCTCCAGCAGCCACAGTGTCGTGTGTATTCAGCATCCCAGCATTTCAAAATAGTGGCAGTGGCACTTTAACTAAAGCTTGTTGAATGAGTTAAAGTGCCCTCACTCCCATTTTGAAGCCTGGGATGCTGAATACACAAGACGTTGTGGGCGTTTTAATTAGAGCAGCTACCAAGAGCCACTCTAATTAAAATGCCCTTTCCCCCACCTCTCGGAGCACATGTAAAGACACTATATGGGATTAGCCCAGTATGTCCTGGGATCCATGCGCACAGCCAAACTAGTGCTAGAGCAAGAGATGTGAAGGCCTGGGGAAAATAAAAACAGAAATTTGGGGGGGGAGAACCCTTTTTTCCCCATATTTTTCCAAGAACTCTTTTTGTTTTTTCCGGAAAAATTGAAAATTTCTAGAAAAAATTAAAAAGCCTCTTATGAAATATATATTTTTAGAATGATGAATAAAATGTTTAAGGCAAGGTGTTCATATATTGCTACCTTTTACTCCCCCAAAATGTTTTCTAATAACTATGTAATAGGAAGACTTTTATGTAAGACTATCCACAGTATCAAATCATTACAATTCCTGTACACCGAGGACAAGCAGTACAGTACAGGACAAGCAGTACAAATGCAAGAGCAAGATGCATTTCTGCCCCCAGGGGGCACTGCCATTCTTACAAGAGAAGGAAGAAGGATTCAGTGCCTTCTTTGCTTGTGGACTTCTTCTATTGTTGACTTTTGATCTAGTGGTTGGTGGATCTGCTCCTGTCCTCCTGACTAAACCTCAAAGGACTGGGAGTGGATACTGACAGCAACATCCATTTGTTCCTGTAGAGATTAGAAGCAAGAAGCTTATTGCCCCGCTTGCTCAAAAGCCTCAGGAAAGGAGACAGAGCAAGTCTAAAGGTTTTGGACTTGGAAGGAACCTGCCTCCTCCTGGCCCTGTGACCTTGAGATCCACAGAAGTACAGAAGCAGCACAAAACAGCTGAAAGAAAGTATGCTTCTTTATCGAAAGGTAAGAGTTTAAATTTCTCTGAATTCAGTATATTAAACCATATTTTAGCTGCATTTAGGATATTTTCATAACCTATGTAATTCAGAATTGAATTCCTACTAATCTGATGTTTTGTGACAAATCACCCTGGCTTAGCAGGGGGGTGAGGCCTGCAGGGCAGGGAAGTTGTTCACAATTAACTCTGAGGAGGCCTCTCTTGCATCCATTACTAAATTCGTACATGCTGTAGCTTAGTGTTTATATATGCAAGCTAGCCACTAAATTACATTTTTCTGTTTTCTCCCTCAGCCAAAGGATGCGACCAACTTCTAGCATATGGAACCATTTCCACACTGCAAGTTATTCTGAGAGAGAAATGCGATTTGCAAATACTGTCAGATGAAATATGCATTTCCAAAAGCTACTAGGATGACCAAACACATCCTTGTATGTAAGAAGTGCCCTGCAGACATTAAAAAAAATCCTTCATGGGTGTAAGTGAGGAGGAGGTAGATCATGATGATGAAAATGCAAGTAGCTCTTTCCAACGTTCTCAATCCAGAAGTCCTCCTCCTCTAACATCAGCATCACAAAGGGTTGCTCAATCAACATCCCCAAGTAACCAAATATTGCAACCGACTGTATACAAAAGACTCTCAATAGCTTCATTTGTAGACAAGATGTCACCTGAAGATCAGGACAAAATTGACCAAGCTCTTGCAAGAGCAATATATTCTTCTGGGATGCCATTGTCAAAAACTGACAATGCACACTGGCGGGAAGCTTTTAAATTACTAAAACTATCATACCATTTGCCTAGCAGACATTCTTTCAGCAAGCTTCTTTTAGAGTCAGAATATGAACGTGTAATGCAATCTGTGCAAGGTAAAAATCAACGAAACACTGTCTTGCAGCATGCGCAGATGGATGGACAAACATGCGGGGAGAAGAAATCATAATCTCTGTGATAACAACACCTCAGCCAGTTTTTTACAGAAGCATTGAAACAGGAGAGAACAGGAATACTGCAGAGTATAATCAGTAGTAAAATATGTGAAGTCCTACAGAACATTTGGAGTGGTAAAGTATTTGCTTTACTGACTGACAATGCAAGTAACATGAAAGCAGCATAGGGGATCATAATGGATAAATATCCACATATTACTGCAATAGGATGTGCACCCCATGGGCTAAACTTGCTTCTTAGTGACATCATGAAGTTGGACACTCTGCAAAAGATCTACAGAAGAGCAAAAGAAGTTATCAAACATGTAAAAGCTACTCATATTGTTGCTGTAGTCTTTAAGAAGAACCAGGAAGAAAAAGAATGCAAAGAATAGAATTGTGACACTCAAACTCTGCAGTAAAACTAGACGGGGTGGAGTGGTGATCTCGTTTGAAAGTTTTACTAAAAAACAAAGAAGCTCCTCAAGAAACAGTAATAACTGAGGATCTTAAAGCACCCAGAAGTGTAAGGAACACTGTACCTGATGAGGATGTCTTCTGGGTTCAGCTGCAGAACTCCCTGAAGAGTCTAAAGCCAGTTTCTTCAGCAGTCACTGCATCTGAATCAAACAGTGCACTTTTGTCAGACGTTCCTTACCAAATGGCCCAGATAGACTCTCAAAAACAGTTGATTGTAAGTGCATCTCCGCTTACAAGTACACAAGAAAGAAAAGTGAACGCCTTTATTAACAGACAGGAAAAATTTTGTTGCCAATCAGTTCGTGCTGCTGCAAATCTCTTGGATCCAAGATTCAAAGGCAGAAATGTTAGTGATGAATGATAGCACTGCTACTGCATTTGACTGGATTACAAAACAAGCAACACACTTAGGACTTGATGTTGGAAAGGTACTTTCAAATGTTGCAGAATACAGAACATCTTCAGGTATTTGGTCCAGGAATGCAGTCTGGGACTCTGCCAAGCGTATCCCTCCCGCAACATGGTGGCAAGGCCTTTGCACGACACAGCCTCTGACTCCTCTCGCTTCTCGCCTGCTTTAGATTCCTCCATCTTCTGCAGCACATGAAAGAAACTGGTCTATGTTTGGAAATACTCACGCTGAATCAAGAAATAAACTAACATGTGAAAGAGTAGAGAAGCTTGTCTCAATCTGGGCAAACCTTCAGTTTTCAGAAGTCCATGAAAACGATAAAAATGAAAGAGCAGAAGAAGCAGAAACTGCTGATAGTGATGGCTCAGAAAATGAGACTGATTAGACAACGTTTCTTGTAGCAAAATTTCTACTCAATGAGTCTTGGGTTTTTTTTCCTTTCTGCCTCAGCTCTTTTTCTAAAAATGAGTGCTATCTTTATCTGCTTGACACTGTGGAGGAGACTAAGTCCAGAATACATAATAACCTTCTTTGTTTTACTATAATGTTGATGGTTTCTTCTATTTTCAACTTCAATTTTTGCCTGCTTCTCATAAACTGGCAAAAACTAACAGGGGTCAGCAACATTTTTGGGCTGAGCGCCGAAAAATCCCACAACTTCAAACTTGTAAGATGTTGGTGTCCCAGGGTGGATGACAGGGGAGCCGCGAGGGGCCCAATCCTTGCTGTTGCCTCGTAGCCATGGCCCCTTCCCTGCCATCCACCCAGAGGCACGTGTGCCAAGCAAAATGCTTTCGAGTGCCACACTCTGGCACCTGTGCTGGGGGGGCGGGTGCCTACTCCTGACCTAAGAGATGCTAGGTACCTTAGAGTTCAGCAGCTTGTAGCTCCATTTGTAACAGAAACTAAAAACATTTTAAAGTAAATTCAATGAGTACATTTGTAGTTATTGTCTGAATAAGCTATACTTTTAATAGATATACCAAACATGATAATTTTATGAGCAAACCAAGTTATACATAATACATTTTATGTTCTTAAAGTAGCAAGTGAATTTCGATCTGTAAATAGTGCTAAGAAAATAAGTATTGCATATTGTGGCAAAGTGGGACTCCACGACTAGCCACAGTGCTAGTTGCCCCACTCGCCTTTGGGCACGCCCCTCACCCAACTCTCCTGCCATGCCTTGTGTCACGGCGGGGTCCTACAGGAGGACCATGATCTCCTCAAGGCCCCCTTCCCGTGCCAAGTTGGCCCAAGGGCACCCTCAGATTCTCACCCGCCCCGTCTTTGATGTTCCAATATATTAGGGAGGCTGCCTTTATGCCCTCTTGGTCACTTCTCAATGAATCCTAAGACCCCATGGTTTCCTGGACCCCTCGTGGGTCCCGCTCTACAATGGGTGCTTCAGGGGCACCCTAGCCTCAGGGGCTATGCATGGCTCCTACCACCCCTGTACCACGGCCCCAAGCCTCGCAGATGGAATAGACGTTGTTCGGTCTGGGTCTACACCCTCTCTGGCGCTCGGGCTCTCCACGGCCGTCTCTCTCTCTCTCTCTCTCTCTCTCTCTCTGCGCCTTCTCTCTGGCACGTGGGCTCTCCGCGGCCCTCTCTCTCTTTGTGCCTTCTCTCTGGCGCTTCTCCACAATGCTGCCCCCTTTCCTGGGGCCTCTCAAGCGCGGCCCCTTCTCCTGGGGCTCTTCACTGCCCCTCTCCTCTGGGGCCTTCTCAGTAAAGCCGCCCTCTCTCGGGGCTCTTCTACAATGCCGCCCTCTCTCGGGGCTCTTCTCAGTAATGCTGCCCCCTCTCTGGGGCTCACCGTGCCTGCACTGGGGCTTCTCAGCAACGCCCCTTCTCTAGGGCTTCTCAACTGCCCCTCTCTGGGGCTGGGGGCTGTGCACCCCTAATGCTGCACCCTTGCTGGCGCTGGGGTTCCCACACTACTGTGGGTCCCCTATGAGGCCTCCTCCAACCCCTAATAGCCTCACCCAAACCACCGGTGACAAGCAGCAACACAAACACAAGCCCCTAGGCTATAACATAAACAGAAGCCGCCCGGCTATAATCACGCTCAAGCCTACCGGGGTTCTTTATCCCACAGCTGTGCCCAACACTGCTCCTTCACCAGCCTTCTCTTCTCTTCCACAGCAGAGAGCTCCTTCCTCCCGGGCTGCTGGCAGGGAACTGCCTCTGGCCTCAGCTCCTAGAGTTTATGAGCGTGCCAGGCCCTGCCCCTTTCAGTCAGCTGACCGCTGGCAGGTGTGATTGCTTCCTGGCTCCAGTTGCCCTGGCAGCCAATGGCTGGGCTCCTTATTCACTGCTAGGGCTCTTTCTCTAGCAGTTTCCCCTCTTTAGAAGCAGGGCACCTAAGTGCCCTGCGACACCTTGTTATTAATTAATTAAATTGAGCGATCTTAATTAAGGCAGGAGGCTGCCCATTTTATGCCCCGATGCCAGGGGGCGCTATCTACGGCTCCGTACCTCCCCTACACCGCAGCCCATGCCTCGTAGATGGCATCCAGATGACAATATGCTCCCGGCGTACAGCCGGAGCAAGCTTAGGCTATACTGTCAGGCCTCAGTCTCCTGCACGCTCGCACCGCCCGCCTCTCACTTGGGCCTCACACACTCCACCCTCTCTCGCAGGGCCTGTTTCATCCATCAACAACTTATTCTACCCTGCTGCCTCTTGAAGCAGCTCCCTTAGGCCATAGGCTTAGCTAATCTGTCCCTTGGGTGGCAGACGTACTGTCCTTTGGGCCACTCCCGCGACCCTCACCGGGGTAGTGGCCAGCCAATTCCCCGACCGGGCCTAAGCTTACTCTGGCCCCTTCCGGGGGCAACACTACGTGTATATAAATGTACAGGGCCCTCAGCCCTCTGGTTCTTCGCCCCTTTCACTGGGGCTCCCCATCTCCGCCCCCTCTCTGGGGTTCCACATTACCCCCTTCACACGGGACTCCACATCTCTGCCCCCTCCACTCAGGGCTCCACTGGGGCCTTCACTGGGACTCTCATCTCTGCTTCTCACTTGGGGCTCCATACCACCCCCTCACTCGGGGCTACCCCCTCACTGGGGTCCTAATTTCCATCGCCCTCACTTGGGGCCACGGAGCTTCATTCCCCGGTGGGCTCAGGTGGCTGCAGCCGTGCCCGGCCCCCACTCTCCCTCCTCAGGGTCTCTCGGGGTCTTGCACCCCACAGGGCTCAGGTGGCCTCAGCCATGCCTGGCTCCCAACTACCTCCAAGGGTATGCAAACCCACCCAAAGGTGAGGGCCAAGGTTAAGGCGCCCCTACCTGCCTCTCCCCAGGGCAGTAACTGACCTGGCATTTCCTGGGGGCTTCCGTACCACTGAGAGCCCCACCAGGCCACCCACTCCCGGCAGGGTGCAGTTTTAGGTCATGCTCAGGACCAGGAGCCTCCTATCCATCCCCAACAGCTCCTGCCCTTACCTCCAGGTTGTTATGGAGCCTCACAGTCAGGCAACATTGCTGCCTCCCCAGCCAGTAGGGAACTGAGCTGTTTATATAGGCAACCAGAGATCTTAAATGGCTGCCTCAATCATGCACCTGCTGGCTGCTTGGCTCTGGTCTTAACGTGGCAGACACCCACAGTGCCCTGCCACCCATCTTCCCCTTTAAATGGTACCAGGGGAAGGTTTCCCTAGCTGCTGCTCCAAAGCAGGCTCCCTTTGGAGCCTGTGGGAGCCCTCAAGTGGCGAGCACCCCAAAAGGTGCTCTGCCACACACCTCCCCCCTTTAGAATGAGATCTGGGGGGCTTCACCTGGCTGCCTTCCCTGCTGGGCTAGGCCCCAGCCTTCTGCAGCCCCTACCACGTGGTAAGCACCCCAAAAGTGCTCCGCCACACATACATTTCAATTTTTCCCCAAATTTCCATTTTTTCCCAGAACAAAAAACAGAAAAGTACCATTTTTCCCCCCCATGGCTTCAAAAACTACCCAGACATCTGCTGGGAGACACAGACAGCAAAGTCGCACCGTTCACGCACGTTCCTATCCTGCGTACAGGACCTCCACCTGACGCAGGAGGTACACAGTCCCACTAGGGGAATGCCTTACTGGACATGGTATTGGCAACGGGGGATGATATGGTAGGGGACCTACAGATTGGTAGTCACCTGGGGGACAGTGATCACCAAATAATAGAATTCATCATAAGACTCTATCATAAG